GATTGTTGCTTTTGTGTCACATGAGGAGGGGTTTTAATCAACTGTCTACTGTTATAACCTGCATTGTCCATTACAATGACGCTAGATACACTTGACTCGCACATATGTTGCATAATTCGAACACGATTCAGCACACGCTGTATTACACACGAAATAAGAATGATTACTAATAAACTTAAACTCAGTAGTATACCAAACCAAAGACTATTAAACATAGGTAGATGTAAAATTATTTTCTAATACAGACCACAATTTTACCCGAATTTAAATTCCGATCGCCCTCGGATAATCCCATTCAAAAGCAATCGGTCACTTTCTTATATCTATGAACAGACCATACCTCATAATTTTATACACCGCTCTCGGAAACTATTACCTCCCACGCGGTTACCAAAGTAACCACTAATAATAATTACAAATCACTCCACTTGTCTCTTGCCCAAATGCCCGTATTTGCATCGCATCAGCAATTTTATAAAGGACTTACGCAATCTGTTTGGGTTGGAAATTTTTTGAAGTAAGGCAGACATCGACGGTACGCCACTGATTTCTCTTTTTTGAAATTCGCTTCCACTTCTAAGCAAACCCGAATAAATATCGGCCACCCTTGGATAAACCCATTCAAAAGCAATTGGTCACTTCCTTATATCTATGAACAGACCATACCTGTAAATTTCACTTCGATGAGTCTGTATTTGCTTATGCTCTGATGGTTTTTGGTTTATGCAATTTATGCTTTTGTAATCCGTTATTGCGTTGTAAAGTCAGCTGATTGCTCTTAAATAAATAAAGAAGTAAATAAATAAATAGACAAATAGATAAGCAAATAAATAAATAAATATTTTTTTGAAAAAATAAAATTTCGCAGTTTTTGGCAGAACCCGGTAATAATTGTTGTCTCTTCGATCTCTTCTCGGTCCCCGTCCCCCAGGACCCCCGATCCTTGACTTATTTAACGGCTTGACGCCGTGACGGTTCCTAATATCATTTCAACGACCATCCGAAAAATGAAACGCTCGTTCTCGGTCGAATTAATGTCGGCTGTCGCGTCTACCGGCTCGTCTCGCAACGGGTAAGCAAATTTTTATACCCGACGAATTTGAATGTTCTCGCCGGGATTGATTAAAAGTTGTTTCCCCGCTGAAAAGAAGAGAAGACAATGTATTTTATTTCGCTTCTGTTAAGTTGAGATTAAATGATAAAAAAATATTGTTTAGTTTTGTTAAAAAAAACTGATAGTTCCAAAGTAATAGATACCTATGGAAATGTATAACTTTATAATGATGCCAATAATAATAATAATAATAATCATATTCGTTAATGAGACATTTAGATACATAATACACACATCTTTTTGACAATATAATTCGGCTGTCCGAATGATCTGTTCTGTAAGACAAATTGACTACTGAATCCACAGCCTTCTAGATATGGCCAATTTTTATTAAAAGAGAAATTCAAATTTCCGTTTTTTGCGAATACCAATACGAAAAATTCGATTTCCGAAAGTAAAGTAAAAGAATTATAAAAATAACTATGAGGTTAATTAACAGGTAAGGATGATAAGGCGAAGAAAAGTCTATGCTCGTAAAGCATAGTTCTATGTAAGGTATTCTCCCTAATATTTATATTGTGAGGTACATAGCGAAAAAATAGTTTATTTTTTAAAGCCTTTAAGATCATGTAGGTTTACACGGCAAATACATATTCAGCACTTGTTTTGCTTAAAGGCCGTCGTCATAGCCACCTTACACTATTCTATTCAGGAAGATTGTCACATTAATTAGTTAAAAAATATGAAGTTGGAATAACTAAGGCTTTTACTGGTTCACCAATTTGAAAAAATAATAAAACCCCAGAGAAGCAAAATAAGCAAGATTCCTCTGTTGATGGAATAGAACTTATATCCGGCATTTCTCTAGTTGGAGATGTTTTCTTCACTCTGCGAAATGAACGTTAAATATTTTGAGAAATTGATGATGGTCTAACGCGACCCCGTATAAGGTTTCCGAAGGGGGCCCGTTAATCCCAAACATACGGTGTGAAATATTAAGACCCCGCCCCAATTTCGCCAATCTCGAGTCGACAGACGTTCTCCGATAATGAGTGTATAACAGAGCTCCGAGAGCAAATTATTAACAGTCGGGAGGATGCGTGTGTGGTCCGACCGGTGGTTCCGCGAGCGAACCTCTGTAGGTCGACATCTATGGTGTCCAAATTTGTTCCATTAATAAAAGGATTTCCTATTAAAGGGGTCTAAATGTGGGATGAAAAAGTATTTTCTAAGGTACAACACCCTAATTCAAATATAAACTCATTTCATGTTAATTAATTCCTGGGATGTATGGTCAACGAAAAATGGAACGTAGACCAAGAAATATAATCCAGAATTGAGCTTCAAAAGTTACTTGTAAGCTTAAATCTCGGGTGCGGAATGAACTACAATGAACAAAATCGAAGAGTTTGAAATATGGACGCTTCGACGAATGCTCAAAATACCCGTTTAATTTTTGTAGAACGTTATCACTTTCAACGCGTTTTTCTTCAAGGTAAAAATCGAGTGAACTGGAATAAGGGACCTCTGTAAATAGAGAAATTTGATGAGACACGATGAACGCCTACGCAGGGCACTATAAGAAGGAACACTTTCAAGCTAATGAACGATATTTTTTGCAGAACCTCAACTTCTCCAAGAAGTCGATAACATTGAGATTCGACAGATGTGGTTTCCGCAATATGGACAACAAAAATATTGATACTAAAATATTAAATATATTTTGTAATCTCATGATTGGAGAGTTTTGTCCTACGTTGGCTCAATTTGATTGGCATAAGACACGACTGGTCTAATGGGCATATCTTGTATATGTAATTTAACTAAAGAATATAATTTCGGAGGTTGTGGATTCATAATTGTTAAAAAAAAATTTATAACGCGGCTTTCATATATGTGTAGTCCCGGTAGATAAAGGTACGTCATAATAATAAAGATAAATGTTTATTAGAATCTTACACATAAACATTTTTTGAAGGTTCCTGTTTTTTGAAACTTCCCCTGTTAGAAGAAGACATGGAAAACAACGCAGAATTTGAAGACGAAGTGGAGATGGTAGTCGAACCTAATGACAATTTAGAATACGAACTACCTCAGAAAATAAAAAAACGGATCCATTTGTCTTCGGATGCTAAACAAATTCTTTTGAATGTTGACAATTTTATCAGAAATTCAGTAGGGGCAGTAGGAGCAGCAATAAAAACAATTGACATGACTAAAGTTTCGTAAGCAAAATTGTTGCAAATGGGATAGTAAGAGGAAAGTGAGAGAAGAGCAACACGCAACACTTTGTACTAATTTTTGTTCTGGAGTAATGAAGAGTAGTTGACCACGGTTGTAAAAGCACTATATTTCTGGTTGAAGTATAATTCTCAATGTCGTAGCCCGAACAAAGTTATTCCGGAAAAACCAGAAGGCGAGAACGGAAAACGTCCAACAAATTTTTTTTGTTTTCGACGCTGATCATTTCGGTACCGTCGCCGTAGATACTTTTGAAAAATACGATCGATCATCGATTTTCGTAAGTGATAAATCACAATGTACAGGAAAACAGGAAAAATGCTGCCACTAGCTGCGGGAAAAAGTAACGGGGTCAGCTGCGTCTCGTGTCAAACGGTACGGGTCACGAAAAAGGCAATGCGATTCCATCTCGATAGCGAAACCGAAATAAATCAAACAATTATCTACAGGGAGGCGCGGTGTCGCGAAACCATGCGGCCGCGCAGATACGCATCTCGCTTAAAAACGCACTGCGCAGACTCCGACGCGTCGGTCGGGTCGTCGTGATTTGTGTTCTCGTTCGCGGTCGCTGGATCGAGAGATTCGACGGTACGATATCGGAACAAATTAGCGGCCAAATTATAGGCTTTTCGGTGCCGCTATCTTCATCGGTGCGCGGCTGATGGCCCCGGGTACTATCGATTACGCCGCCGTCGCCGCCGCCGCCGCCTCTCTGACGTCCAGATGGCGGTTTTTATGATTTAGGTGTGCGGCGGCTCCGTTTAGCGTTAATTGCCGCCATTTTTCCCCGCGAAACTAGATCGAGCCGGTCGTATACAGGGTGAGTCAACGATACAGCACCGTTCATTATTCGAAGTGTTTTCGGAGCGCGAGCATTGAAGATGCCAAGTGAGATTTTGGCGAAACGTCTGCAGGATTCCAGTCGGATGCAGGATTTGCAGGATTCCAGTCGGATGCAGGATTCCAGTCGGAGTTCAACGAGCGAACGGATGATATCCCGGAGTATAGTGTCATCACATTTTTCCGTCCGTGAATCAATACGTGAGAATATATATATATATATATATATATATATATATATATATATATATATATATATATATATATATATATATATATATATATATATATATATATATATATATATATATATATATGTTCGAAGTGTTTTCGGAGCGCGAGCATTGAAGATGCCAAGTGAGATTTTGGCGAAACGTCTGCAGGATTCCAGTCGGAGTTCAACAAGCGAACGGATGATATCCCGGAATTTAGTGTCATCACATTTTTCCATCCGTGAATCAATGCGTGCAAATATATATTTATCAACTTTAGTTAAAAGTTCATAGGTTCAATTTACACATTTCAGTGCATTATATAATAATAATGCATTAATTAATATACAACATTATGCAACAATTTTCGATATTTGGTCGTAGTCGTTGTTTAAAAAATTCTAAAAGCGTATCGAATAACTAACACAAACTGCAACACATTGCCAGCACATCGAACTGCTAATTAAACTCTAAGATTCAAAACAATTTTAATTTTAATTTTCTCACATTTTTATCAGCTATAACCAACAAATATCTAACAAACTACGCGCTTTTGCCCCGGCCTTTTCGTGTTTTTGTACCTTATCTATTGGTACATAGATGGCGCCACAGATTAACATAATGTGATGTATTCGTTTATTTTCTCTTTCCAGGAGAATGTTTCCTACGGTGAGGGTGTCATTCACGGGCATAAGGCCTGAGCAAAAATACGCGGTGCTTATCGATATCGTTCCGGTCGATAACAAACGATATCGATACGCGTATCATCGATCCTCGTGGTTGGTGGCAGGCAAAGCGGACCCGCCCGCCCCCTGCCGCATATACACCCATCCGGACTCTCCATACACGGGGGAACAGTTGAGAAAACAAGTGGTTTCCTTCGAAAAGGTCAAGTTGACCAACAACGAGATGGACAAGCACGGCCATGTAAGCGAGCATTTTTTTTATGAGCAAAAAATTATAGGGCCCATTCAACACGAAAGACTAGTTTGTAGTAGTTTTTGAGAAACTGGAAAATAAGGGAACAAGGTGTTAAAAAAATGTAAATGTCATTAATTGTGGGCTTTCAGAATTTGCAATGACTTCTTCTTCAGGTCAAGGGTCAAAAGTGTGCTAAATGTAAAGTTATTAAGTTTAGTGCATGTACATGAACTGTTTGACATAGCCCTTAAATATTTGCTCATCATTTTCGGGCATCCTGCACTGCAATTGTACTTAAAATATGCTTAAATCAGTTGAATCGTTAAAAAAGACGGAACTGAATAACTAAACTAAGGTCAAAGCAGGACAGGAAAGGGCAAACCAAGTCTTATTATTCCGAGTGTTGTGCGAGTGCCATGAAGTGCTTTGAAATGTCGCGGTGGAGAGTGACCTTTCTTGCCTTGTTTGTGTCCGCTGACTTTCTTAACTTCAACTCTTGTATGTGGACGGCAGGCCGCTACTGGTTGTCAAAACGGAATCAATCCCGTATAACTTCTTATGTGTCTTTTCTAAAAATGGAACCAAATACAATACGCATAATTTTACGTGATATCGCAGCTGCGAGGAGAGATGATTAATTAAATTCTGTTAATATATTGTTTTTTCATTTGGCAACTTAGAAGAAGGTTCGATTATAGTCTTTTATTGCTATATTATTATTCGCATGGGGCAATTAATTGCTCCCGATCGCATGAAATATTTTTGTTCCAAAAAAGGATTAAGAAAAAAAAGAAACATTATTCCTGCAGAAATATATTTACTGAAACGCAAATTTTGACGTTTCCCAGTCTTTACATATTGAATTGGGTAACGATGGTTAAATCTAATTATAATGAGTATATATGTATATGTAGTTTCAGACAGAATTATAACCTAGATATTCCAAAACGTAAATTAAGTTCGGTAGCAAATAGCTCAATCGTCCTTCTTATAAAACTTTTTAATAAATTACCACCTGGGATGAGACGGATGTCGGGCTGCGGTCAGTTTAAGGCTGAGGTGGAACGATTGCTTATCGAGAAGGCGTCTGTACAAGAGTACCTGCAGTGCCCTTTTTAATTCGTGTTTTAACCAACGCTTGTCCATTTCAACTTTCAAATAAAGTATATTATTATTATTAACTACTGTAATTTGTTACTGGAACTTTGTTCTGTCGAATTACTTAAGAAAATAAATAAAATGAATTAAAAATAATCGACATGAAACGTTTTTATGCTTTTTTCATTTCGTTTTGTTTGACAGTTGGTGTTAAATTCGATGCACAAGTACCAGCCGAGGATACATCTGGTTAAGCGACCCGATGGGCTCAACAGCCACGTGACCGACTTGGAAAACGAAGAGTACAAGACGTTCATCTTCCCGGAAACCATATTTACCGCTGTGACCGCGTACCAAAATCAATTGGTGAGCGCTTTTCCATGTCTTTAAACGAAACGTCGATCCGGCATCACTGCCGGATCCAGATTAACCCGTTAAATTACGAGACGTGATTTCGATAACACCCCGTATATTTTCTTCAACCGCGTCTCATGGTGGGCGGCCTTTAATTGAGCGGCACTCGTACGGTGGTAGTCGCGGATATTTTGTTTTTCTGCTAAACGCATAAATTTTCCCAGCGTTGAGGACCGCGACGTGATTAAAATGCAACACATGGATACATCGGTAATTTATTTGAAACCAGCAGCGGCAGCGGCAGCTTCGCGCGTTTTTCTTTTACACTCGTTTCGGGACGTCTCGTTTCGCGATATACTCTCCACTCTCCGGCTTGTTCGTTGTGACGAGGTGGAATTAGGATATACAAGGCAGGTATCAAATTATCAAAAAAAAAAAAAGAAATAAATAAATGTGAAAGTTGTTTGTGAGACAAGGTTGCAAATAAGATAGTTACCATTGTATACAGGATGGTATAGGAAATCCCATGTAAATTTTAAGTGGCCAAATATAGGCTCCCCTGTACCCTGCGTTCAATTTGTCTTGATATAATTTTAAATGGATTAATTTTTTGTTTTTAGAGATATCAAGGTAAACGAGAAAACAAAGTGTATTTTTTTCAATGGAACACCCTGTATATTATATGTGTTTAATAGAATATCTTATTAGAATTACACTTTATATGTTAATCCACTCATTTTTGACAATAAATTCTGAATTTAATAATTTCTGATTAATAAAAGTGCAACCGAGCTCCTTCAAAACACATATTTCCAATGCTGGCAAACACATTTGCAGGAAACGGTAACGTGTTAAATGCTAAAAAGGTACGGTGGAATCATAATGCTTTTAATGAGGACGGCAAACGTATTAGGATTCTATGAAGCGCATCCAGTTTCCTCATAAATGGGCATATTTTGAGTCCGGTATTGATAGATCGACAGTTAACTGGAGATCATTATTCGCAACTCTTGCAGCACCAAATAAATATAAATATATCGGCCCTGACGGTGCCAGAAAATTGATAGCGTTTTGTTTTACACAAAACTTGGAAAAAAACTTGACGCTAACCCTACAATTTGTTTTTTTTTTGTTTTGCCTTGATATCTCTAAAAATAAAAAAGTTGCAGACAATTTTATGAAGTAGTTGTAATATAACTTTGCGAAGGGAATAAGTCGATCTTTACGTATTAAATATGATAGCAAAATTAGAAAATTTTTATAGTTTGGGTAATAAATCAAACGCCAGTAAAATACATTTTGACAATGATAACACGAAAATTCGTGGTATTATGCTGAAAACAGTGTCTGAAAGGTTAATTTTTCTGCTAAACCTATACCTTCTATTTTAAGAATTAAACACGTATTATTCAGCTGATAATCTAGATAATAGAGCAGAAGAAAGAGACAATAGAGATTTAAACATTTTACTGCATGTGGAAGAAAACAAAATGATTACTACGAGGATTCTTGGACAAGCTGTAAATAAACATCAAACGACTTAGGAAATCGCCAATATTTTTTCTATAAATACGAAAGGCAACAAGAGCTCTGGGAAGGCGATGATGAAAGAAGAGCATTTTGGTTTGAAATGATGGAAAAAGCAAATAATGAGAGAGATTTAAAAAATTGTTTCACTGATAGATGTACATTCATACCCAACAGCGAACACAATGTTCAAAACTGGTAATCTACGGACATCACATAATTGAGCTATTTTGGACTTGCAAAATCACACTAGAAGAACTTGTTGGCGAAGGTCAGGAGATCTGGTACCATATGGTTAGGAAGTGTTTGGGAAATACGTTTAAAGAGGATATTATTGGCCCAAGTTGTGGAATCCTTTGGCGACCCAAGTCACATGTTAACAATGTTAGAAGTGATCTCAATTACACTGTAAATGGAAGGTTGTTTGAACATTTACTTAAAAAATAATGTTGCTCTTTAGCAATGTTTTGTAGCCGTACTCTTATTATAATTATTAATTATTTTCCATAAAAGGCTTGACGGTCAAATTTATAGTCGTGACTTGAAGCTTCTTGTTGCTTAAATTGTCCTTTAAAGAAAATTTTTTCAAGTACGCTTTAATGTAAATTGAGGTCTTAAATAAAACTCGTTTATTATTATTATTATTATTATTATTATTATTATTATTATTATTATTATTATTATTATTATTATTATTATTATTACTATCATTACTATTATTATCATATTATTTTCTGGGTAATGTAATAAAGGAGAACGCATTTTCGCAGACCCACAAACTTGTACCAAAAGATGCAGAAAGAATGTTTAGTTCATTGCCAAACTAATATCGAAAATATGTCAAAAACTTCGAAATTGCTCTTTTAAAGAAATATGGAACTTTTAGTTATACGAATGAAGATCTCGAAGCTTTTGAAACATTACAATGGTGCTTAATGAATCCGCCATTACTTCGGACTCGCTAAAAGGACAGAGCGGATTTATTTCATCTTGGTCTTGAAATGTTCGTGGTCTAAAAGGCGACGAAAATTGTAATAATTGCCGGGAAAACCAACAAAGCAGCCCTTTTTCTCTAAATAAAATGTATAAACAATATGAACTTAATTGCTATACTTCAACCATGATATTTGACATTTGATTTGACAACCAACTAATATGTCAATCCATCTTGTTGCTCTTCAGAACGCGTCAATAAGTATTACGAAATCTATGAGTGCGGCAGAACTTTCTTTACTGCGGCGATCCTTTGTGGTAGGTAGTAATGTGCCCTTTTTTTGATATTTTGTGAGGATGGCACTTTAATGCTTAATGATTATTTTATACAAAATTCTAGGTCTTTTATTTATCGATTGAGACAGTACGGAGTGCGCCGGGTCAGCTAGTCGAAAATAATAAGTTTAGGTAAGTTTCGAACCTACAGAGAGCGAGAGGAAATATTCGTCGTATTCGCGAGCGGTCGTAAATTATCCTCGAACGTGGGGTGGGGCGAGGGGCGCCCCCGAATAACGTCGACTTCGAAGCTCGTTAGTGGCTTCCGAAAACATTGATGTTGTGAAATGTGTCATGTTTTGCCCGCGGTGGCATCCGAGGTGCGTTCCGACTATGGCAATTCGTCACTCGTCGCCCTCCCGAGTGAGAGAGTCTGTGCCACGGACCACACGTGCGTCCCGTGTGAAAACCACGTCGCTACGTCTCGTCCCATTTAAAACGGCCATTATTTTATTTGCGCCGGCTTTGACGCGACTCGTTCCGCTTGAAACCCGACGTTTTTCCACGTTGTATAGTCCGTTCGTTAGCCAGAGGGAGTAATGACGTCAACTTCGACTTCTTTATCGTTCTGTTATTCTTATAATGTTTAAAAGTGAGAGTGTAATGAGTGACAATCTTTTTTTGGGAATAGTCAACATGACTTTCAGTGATCAGAGTTATACTCTGGTTCTTGATCATATTGTGATTGTGAAGTTTAAGTATTTCTACCTACCATTTCTAAGGGAGGATTTGTCAATATTTTAACCCACTATATCCATATATTTCTCACGATCTTCAATTATTTCTATCCTGTTAGTTGGGATCCTACTCGTAGCTGAAAAAGTAGGCATTGAAGATGAAATGAAGGACCATGCTTGCTTCATCTAAGCAAAGAAATACAAACAATGAATTAAAATGACTAGGCTATTTGAACATTTGAGGCATTTCTACTCAGGAATAGTCTGTTGACTAGTCTTACTTTCTTACTGATAAAACTCGACCGAATGGAAACGACGACAATTATCAGGAGTGACGTCCGCGGTTTCTGGCTACTCGCCAAGCTACTGAACGCGCTGACGGGTCCCGGTATAAATGCGTTGCCGATTCACTAGCCGCGAAACGTATCGTTGTTCAATTTCGGGGCCATCAGTGTCGACCACCCATTATCGCCCGAGTCATTTTTAATTTTCGGGAATATGGAATGCGACGCGACTCGCGAACGAGCCGTTGACAGAACGAAGCCGACACGGCCGAGACGCGAAGTATTTTTCGTCCGAGTAATGGTTTGTCCAAAGGGGGGGTGATCCTAATTATAGCAGAAATATATGCTCGCCGATGACGAACGGAAATTATTATGAACCGTGTCGTCTGTGTGGTCGTAATTAAGACTCCGCGCAGGAAAATCCACTCGTGTATTTCGCGGGTGCGGTGTCGATTGATTTGTGCGGCGGGGGTAACGTACAGGATTGCCACGTTTAGTTCTAAAAACATTAACATGGCCGACAACATTCTGGAGGAAGGAAACCTCAAAGAAAAACCACTTGGTCCCCCAGGCTGGGCGATGTGCTAGCTCCGAATCTTCTGGAGAGCAAACGTAATGATTGAACTGAGGTGACTTTTACTTGATGAAAATCCATTTATGAGCAGGGGAATTACCGTCTCCAGCGTTGTGATGTTGAATGAATGAATGAATGAACTATTCAAACTATCCATAAAGTAGTATAAAGAAGAAGAAAGAAGAGTATAAAGGCTCTTCTAATTAAAAAAGCGAAGATGTGGAAGGTCTAAATGCTACATCTGAATGTAGCGCATCGTGGATAGAATATGATTGGGGAAAATATGAAAGTAGTAGAAATTTCTCCTGTACACTTGGGCATGTAAATAGTGTTTTCGCTCATTTACCCAAAACGCTGACTGATTTTGACAGCAATTGCTGCTATTAACCCAGCATATTTTACTCATTAGTAAAGAAAGGATTAATGGTTTTTTAAAAGTGTCAGTTATAGGCAATGGCTAACATCTCAGTGTTCCAAGCTAAGTGTGTACGTAGCCGTCTTGTCAAATAAACACTCACTTCAAAACAGCAACGCAATACAACACTAATTGTTAACTGCACATGACATGCCGAAAAACAAATGTACCAAAAGACCTAGAACTGTGTAACATTGCGTATGCAACCGAAAGGATTGAGACCAGATTGACGGGTTGCCTAACATCAGACGCCACGTAGAACGCTTTTATTTTGATTTACTTCGTAAACAATCAGTTTCGGTTTTATCAATTCGCCACTCATATCAGGGGCGGAACCGCCGGCATGTTGCTGTGTCTTCTGTGCCTGAAGTATCCCCGGAATATCACGGAGATTTCGGTTACGCTCCAACCCCACGCGTACGCGAGTTTATCACGTCGAGGTTAATTTCCACAAAGATTTCCATGACGCAATTGTACTTACATCATTTTAAACTGTTTTCGAAGTGCACGACAAAGCTGTAAAATTTTCCAAAGAATTTCGAATCACTTTTAACGAAGACTGTTTTTCACTTTTATTCTGCCATCCATCGCGATGTTTCTGCGATAACTTCATAACCTACAGAGTTATAATTAGATGACACTGGTTAGAAGTTTGTCATAGAATTGAATTATCATTTTTACTGTTATTGGCCACGATCGCCAGGGTCATTCGGCCATAAAAATAGATTATTTGATCTCTGATGGAACAGGACTGTTGAAGGACAGCTGTATCATTAGGTGTATGTAACTCGAAAGTTCCAACTATGTCCGTTGGTTCCCCAAACTCTTGTTATCGTTCATATCTTCTTAGTCAGTCAACACATCCATGTCGGGTGGAATATAGACCGCGTGACGAGGAATGGAATGCTAAAATACATAAGAATACGTAAATCCAAATAATACTTACGACTTTCATTATTATTGTCCTCATCCATCACGATCTCATCTATAACCGCCTCTAATTCCTTTTGAATCAAATACCTCGGAAATGCCATATTTTACGAACTCTAACGTTCATTGCACAAGACACAAACTAATACTAAAGAACACGCTACTTGTCTAGACTTGCGATAACAAAGTTTTGTTTCGCAGATAAACCAGTGGTGAAATCATAATCAATATAGTATTTCCAGTGTATGTTCTCTGCGATGTAATCTACATGCCATAGACTTAACAAAAATGGCAATACTAATCCAAAATATATTTTTTTTACTATTTTGAATTTACTTGAAAATGGGATACAAATCTATGTACCGCTTTTCTTAGCTTTTAAAGTCACACATGAAATAGTGATTTATATGGTTTTATGTCCTTTAGTAGTGATAATAAAATTCCTACGAAACCAATGAACGAACCAATTGATTGAATGAATGACTAGACAAACAAGTGACCATAGATAGATTCTATGGTCTATCTATTATCCATGCTACTACTACTAGTGCTGCCGCGTCGCGGAGAGTATCTCATGTCTGCGTTTCGTTATTGCAAAGGCTAGTTTATCAATAATGTATAAAATAATGTTTTTATTGTTACTTAATTTGACAGTGTTGCACATTTAAAGGAATAAGTAAGTAGATTTTTGGTATATCGGATGAAATATATCGATATTAGATTCGATACGGGGCGTTTCGATAATATCGGATGAAAGCGATATTGTCGCGTAATGTATCGATATTTTTTTAGTATCGATTTATATCGATCGATGGTTTTATTCTTAATTTAAAATTAGATTTTGAAAAATATGGTCGAATATTGCCTGTCCACGTCCACGTTAGCAAGTGAAGTATGGAACATTTTGGATTTAGATAGATAATCTTTCTTCTTTTTACCGCAACTTATTACCTTCTACCTTGTAAGCCGCGTATGACGCCTTCGGCGCATAATTGCGGCGTCGCGACGCCCCGACCATTAAATTGGCCGCTTTGCTATTAAAATTTTGCGTCGGACAATAATAACGGCACCGCCACCACCGGTATTGGGCGATAAGATCGCGGAAATATTACCTATATATAATACGCGTACTTAATAATTATTAAGAGGCTTTTCGAAACAACTCGCGTATACTGACCGTGATTTACGGGGCGAGATTTAGATGAACGTGACCGATCGGGTGGCCCCTCGCGAAAAATTTAATGAAATATGTGCGAGGCGATCGGGGGGAATTCCTCGCAACGTTTTCATGTATATATACGGTAATTTATAGGACCCGGCGTGTCGCGTAAACACAGTTATTAACTTGGCGAAACAATAAATCCCGCGGAGAGCAATTCCCTCCGACCCCCCGCACCTCAGCGCGTGCGTTCGTGTCTTTCTAATTAAGAACGCAGCGTCTCGTTCGCTCCCTTAGAGGAATTAATAGGAACGCCACAAATGGTCGAAAATCCCGAACGGCGTTCGGTCCCGTTTCCGACGTTTCGGTGAGTCTCGTTCCTAATGGCCCCACCAAATCTTTTGTTGTTGCATTGGCGTAGCAGAAAATATTTGTGTTGATTGTGCTCTTTTATGATGAAAAAGTGTTCAAATGGTTGAAATGAAACAAAAATTTTAAGCACGAGCACTTTAATAATTATTCCCAAAATGTAGTATTTCCGCCATATTTTTTTTCCATCCACATTTCCTTGTATTTGACGTCCAATCCACAGTGTCTTGTCCAAGTAAAAGCCTATAGTAATAACATTTTTGGTTTTTATGAGAAAGGTAACCTCTACCTTTATACACCTTACTAGGAGTTACCAGTTGATATATTTGATATATATATATATATATATATATATATATATATATATATATATATATATATATATATATATATATATATATATATATATATATATATATATATATATGATGACACTATACTCCGGGATATCATCCGTTCGCTCGTTGAACTCCGACTGGAATCCTGCAAATCCTGCATCCGACTGGAATCCTGCAGACGTTTCGCCAAAATCTCACTTGGCATCTTCAATGCTCGCGCTCCGAGTGTTCGAAGTGTTTTCGGAGCGCGAGCATTGAAGATGCCAAGTGAGATTTTGGCGAAACGTCTGCAGGATTCCAGTCGGAGTTCAACGAGCGAACGGATGATATCCCGGAGTATAGTGTCATCACATTTTTCCATCCGTGAATCAATACGTGAGAATATATATATATATATATATATATATATATATATATATATATATATATATATATATATATATATATTTCTAGTTTGTGAGTTCTTGGATCCTTTTGATTTTATATAATCTTAAGAAATGGTTCTTGGGTTTTTTTTGGTCCTTTCTTAGTGAAATTAAAATAAGTTTCCGTTACTTGTGAAACATTTTATTTTTTGCGACGTTTCGGCCTTCAAGACCTTCTTCAGACATTTAATTTTAACCTACAAAAATGTGTTTTTAAATAAAATTATTTATAGCATTGTTTTCCTGGTCATAATTAAAACATAGATAAAAATTTGTATAGGAGTCAGCATTGAAATGATTAAAAATTACTAGTGCAAGTCAATAGAACAAACAAAGTGATTAAAAATTGTATAAAAATAGATGCACAACAATAAAACATACATAATTTTTTATATTACGATTACATACATACCTTAAGCCAAAAATCAACGGTTCACTATATAGTTGTTTGGTAATTTACAGTTTTACAACATTCACAACAGACATATTGAATATGTAAATCGACGAGCCACTTCACAGTAGGACAACGGAGTTTTTTTTTTTTTCTAAAGCTTTTTTTTTTCTTTTTGTTTGTGTGAGATTCACGGGTTAATGTGTCTGTTTATTTAATTAAGTTGTGATAAATTTTGCTGAGATTTTTTGTGTCAGTCTTAGAGTTTATGGCGTTCGGATTTTTTTGGATCTCAATCATTTCATAAAATTCCCGTCTTTTTGTGTGCCTTTCTGAGCGTAAAATTTTCACACTTTGAAACTCAAACGAGTGCTGATTCTCCCTGGAATGGCTCGAAAGAGCAGTGTTATTTTTTTTGTCATATTTATGGCCGTTTAAGCGACTTTTTAAGTATTGACTAGTTTGTCCGATGTAGACACCGTTACAATTTTGGCACGGTATTTGGTACACCACGTGGCTTTTTTTCTCGTCAGGGATTTTTGATTTTAATTTACTAAAGTTTTGTTCTAATAGGTGTGTGTGTTGTATATATTTATATATATATATATATATATATATATATACAGTGTGTCCAAGATAAGGATGCACAGCA